TTAGGATTAGTATTCCCTTCCAAGTATTACTTCTTTTGACAGTAGGGCATTTTGATTACTAAAACAATATTAAACATATGCGCAGGACTATTAAAGAAAACAGTGCATACAAATTGCTTCAGATTTTAAATTATTCCAGGTACAGAGAGAATATTTGTCTGTTTTGTGTCTCATATGTTGTGACTGTACTTTTGGGTTGGGTGGAAATATTGCGCGCACAAGTACATGTCAAATCAACAGTAACAAGAAAAAACAAGAGGGTCATGATTGCCCTGAGTCGCTCACCAGAAACAACTGCTTTCTAGTGTTGGAATGTCAATATATTCTGATATTAAATTTGAGCATAGAATATGTTTAAACAATAATTTGAAGAAATGCCATGACCTGGGGTATTTAAGCTTTAGCTTAAACGGGGCTTATCAAATTAATATGAGCAAACTTGATAAAAGACTACTTAAGAATGCTACAACGTTTGGTGATCATCTATCAATTATTTCAGTAGGAAATGATGTTCGAAGGTTTTTTCTATTTTTTCTATTTTTAGCTTTAGTGGCCCTTAAAAGGGGCTTATCAAATTAATATGAGCAAACTTGATAAAAGAGTACCCAAGAATGCTACAGACAAAGTTTGGTGATCATCCATCAATTGGTTCTGAAGTAGAAGATGTTTAAAGGTTTTTCTATTTTTAGCTTTAGCGGCACCTAAAATGGGCCAATCAAATTAATATGAGCAAACTTGATAAAAGATTACCCAAAAATGCTTCAGACGAAATTGGGTGATCATCTATTTATTAGTTCTGTAGGAAAAGATGTTTAAACATATTTCTATTTTTAATTTTAGCGGCCCCTAAAAGGGGCTAATCAAATCAATATGAGCAAACTTAATAACAGACTAATCAATGATGCTACAGACACAGTTTGGTGATCATCCATCAATTAGTTCTATAGCAATAAACGTTTAAATGTATGTCTTTTTTTAATTTTAGCTGCCCCTAAAAGGGGCCAATCAAAATAATATGAGCAAACTTGAAAAAAACTACCCAACAATGCTTTAGACAAACAGGTGATCATCCATCCATTAGTTCTGTAGAAATAGACATTTAAAGGTATTTCTATTTTTAGCCTTTGCGGCCCCTGAAAGGGGCCAATCAAATTAATATGAGCAAAATTGATAAAACACTTCCCGAAAATGCTACAGACAAAGTTTGGTGATCATCCATCAATTAGTTCTGTAGGATAAGATGTTTAAAGGTTATTCTATTTTTAGCCCTAGAGACCCCTAAAAGGAGCCAATCAAATTTATATGAGCACACTTGATAAAAGACTACCCACGAATGCTACAGACAAAGTTTGGTGATCATCCATCCATTAGTTCTGTAGAAGAAGATGTTTAAATGTGTTTCCATTTTTAGCCCTAGAGACCCCTAAAAGGAGCCAATCAAATTAATATGAGCAAACTTGATAAAAGACTTCCCAAGAATGCTACAGACAAAGTTTGGTGATCATCCATCTATTAGTTCTGTAGAAGAAGATGTTTAAAGGTTTTTCTTTTTTAGCTCTGCTGACCCCTAAAAAGGGCCAATTGAAATGACATGAGCAAATTCAAGTGTAACTGTAACAAGGATGCTACAGACCAAATTTGAAGTAAATCTGTCAAGTAGTTTCAGAGAAGAAGACGATTGTTGACGCATGACGACGGCCGAAGGACAACGGACGCCGGAGCATCCCCCTTTGATACTAATAGCTCACCCTGAGCCTTCGGCTCTGGTGAGCTAAAAAGGTTAAATTTAGGGTACAATGTCATCAATTTTTGTGCGGTTTAGAAGCACTGCTTTGACTGGATCCTTTAAAAGTGGATCTTTTAAAAATGCTTACCGCCTTATCTCTTAGATGCGTACAAGTTGCCCCAAAAGAACTTTCCGTTTTTAAGACACTCGTATTTTGCATCATCTTTCAAGCCATTCCCACTTTTTAAAGCGCTTGCACCACCTTGTTATTGTTGAATATGACACACAATGAAATGATGATATGCAACACGTTACTTTTTAAATACTTATCTGGAAGTGTTTCCAAGTTCCATAAGAGTTTTTAATTATATAACTTCTAATTTCTTAAACATTTTGTTTTTAGTTTATTTTCAGAACACAAACACATCAAAGCCCACACTTGAAATGAAATCAAAATTAAACAAATACATAGAAATATATTTGTTTTTTTTTATCAACAGATAGCAACTGAATCGAACAGTTATTCGAAATGAATTTTAAAAATAAGGCGTGGATGATTTTTAAAATCTTTCTAGCTACTGACTTTCGGTGTATTTTTGATACAGCATTATACAAACATTTAGAAAATTTTGATTGATTGACATGCTTTCAATCTATTGCCGATTATATACATGTATATTCAAAATATAGCAACTGTTCTTTTACGCGTTCGCTTACCTTATCTATTTTTGTGTGTATGGTGCTTATATTTACCTTTGTCCGTCCGTCCGTTTGTTGTCATATTGAGTCGCATGTACTTTTAAAAGTGTTTGTGCTAAAATCAACAAAATTTCCCGAAATGCGGATCAGCATGTGAAGTTAGGCACCTAGGGTATCGCTTGTGGATTAATTTGTCAGAGGTATTGCCTTTGACTTAGTCAAACTTGCGATTTACAATCTTTGTCGTACGTAGCTTAAATAGTATTTAGCTTGGAGTCATGAAACTCTACGGGAAAGGTGGTCAGGAAGAGCCCTTGAATTAGTAAAAATTTGCATTAATTTTTTCAACTTGGGTCGCGAGTAGCTTTAACAGTATTTGACATAGAACCAAGAAACTTTATAGGAATGTTGATCAGTGTGTAATTGGGCACCTTATGTTTTGCTTGTGAACTTATTCTGTTTTGTCAGAGGAATGAATACCTGGAGATATGTAACCTAGAGTCATGAATGTTTACAGGAATATTAGTCAGCATGTGTAGGTGTGAGTTTGGCGTTTTATTGCGGATTTATCCATTATTTGTAGAGTTATGTATTGCTTTTGACTCAGTAAATGTCTGCAAGTTTTGAATTTGTGTTGTGTTCACCTAAACAATATTTGACATTAAGTCATGAAACTAAAGAAAAATGTTGGGCAGCATGTGTAGTTGTGCACATTGGTGATTTCTTGTGGATTTAGTGAGTAATTTTCACTGACGTAAAATCAACCATTCCAAAATGTTGCGTTACTTATACTTTGAGTGCTTATCTAAAATCAACCAACCTTACAGAAACATAACCAAGTCAGCTAAGTATGGTGGCTGATTTGTGTCATTCGTGTTTTTGCCCTGCGACAACGCCAAGCGAAAAGTCGAGAATATAAAAGATAAAATGGCGGGGGTCCCAACAGAAAACATGCTCATTTGCAAGGGCGCGGGGCGAAGTTTAATAAATAAAACTTTGCCCCGAGGGGGCGCGGAGCAAGATTTAAGAAATTAAACGGTGGGACGCGGAGCAAATACACGCTAATAAGCGGGGGCGCATGACGAAGTTTGAAATAAATCTTCTTCCCGCAGCCCGCTAATTAGCGTGATTTCACCCCCTCACCCGTCAAGCGAAAGGTCGAGAATTAACAAGTTAAAATATCGGGGGTGCGGCGCTAAAAGGTGTTGTTTTTGCTCCGCGCGCCCGCCGTTTAAACATGTTAATTTTCGCTCCGCCCCCCCCCCCGCGAGACGAAGTTCTATCTATTAAACTCCGCCCCGCGCCCCTGCTTATCAGCGACTTTTCGCCCCGCGCCCCCGCCATTTTAACTTGTTAATTCTCGATGACAAAGGAATCGCTTCTCCGTCTGTCCGCCCGTCTGTCTGCTGTCACAAAACTTGTCTTGAATACACATAAGAAATAACTGGTGCAATTTTATCCGGATCAATATCAAATTAAAAAAAAAAACAGAATTCCTAGTTTTATTTTTCATCGCCATTCCTTGGTTCAATAATTTTCGTCAAATTTATGATCCTTTGAGGATTAAATGGTCAACGTTATTTTTTTTTGTCCACTCACATTGCAGTATTTTCAAATTTCGGCAAAGTCTTTTTTAATATTTTTATGTATGTTCTTACTAAATCAAAGTTACCTAATAAGGTCCGTCTAACCAGTCTAACTAAGTTCAATTGCATTTTATTAAGGAGTGTTAGAAGTGTGGTCTGTACCTGTAAATGTATAATATTTAGGAACGGCATAAACCGCCGCACAAAAATGAAGCAGTTGTAAACATGCACTTTATGAAAATAAATAATATCAATGTACATGAATTTGCAAGAAACCATTTATCAAATAAACGAAGATTGAAGTCAAATCAAATTACGAATTATTTGATACGCAAATTGTACAGTCCCTTTTACAACAGTCATTTTTTAGTTTGACAATCAACGAGACTACTTCGTTTTTCATTGAATTACGACATTATCTCGTTCCCGCGACTTAGGAACACGTGGCTACGATATAGTATCTTGTGCGCACCACTAAGGTAATTATCTCGTTCCCACGACCCAGTTACTCACTTACGCACGACTACTGAACTCGTGGCCACGACATACTATCTCGTGCACACCGCTATAAATTATTATCTCGTCAAGACATAGCATCTCTTGCGCACGAGATAAATAAAAACGCGCAAATGTCATATCTGTGCCACTGTACATTTTGTAGTTTGAATGCAAAATTCATTTACTTATTTTCCTTAAAAAAATATCCGCCAGGAAGTTCCAAAACTTTTCAATTAAATCAAATGACTCGTTACTGTCCATAACACAGGCGTTCGGCACTAAAGTACATATAACACGGCTATGCAATGCAATTGGTTATCATCAAGCGACACATGTGATTCATTTCTTGTCGCTCTCATATTTTCAATTTAAATGCTGTTCAAGTTATTTCAACTGAACTTTAAAAACTGACAGGTAAATTAATTTGTTTTAAATTGTCCACGTGTGCCACAACGTTCATTTCAAATTGGAAATAATTTCAAATATTTTCAGGAATGAAGCTATGTTGAACAAAATGCATACCGAAAGATGTAGTTTTCTTTACATATTATTAGTTTCTGATATAGGTAAGTCTTTTTGTCATATCGTTAAAAGGGCGATCGCCTTTTTAATTAAATTTAACCTATAGCTCTTCAGCGCTTCTTATGTAAAATTCTTCCAAGTATAATTTCCAATAACCGTAAATTATACCATACCCAGACTATGGTATAATTTTCAGTTTTGAAGATCGAAGGAGTAAGTGTTTCTGGGCGGAGCTATAGGTTAAAACAGATACACCATTGGTGCGTTGGCGATTTCTGGGTTTGCGTAAATTATACCATAATCACGTGACCTTTCTTATGCAACCTCACTCGACTTCGTCTCGTGAGGTTAAGGCATAAGAAAAGTCACGTGATTATGGTATAATTTACGCAAACCCAGAAATCGTCAACGCAGCAATGGTATATCTATTACATATATTATGCTCAGCTTTAAGTGAAATATTTTATTCTCAGTAATTTATTGAAATATATGATATTCTAACTGAATATTTCTTATTTGAATGAAAGAATGAGTAAAATGGGAAGCTGTCTGCCATATTACGTTTGTCTATTCTTAGAATAGGGTGTTTAATTTAAATCTACTTCTTGTGAAGTCTGAAAGTGTTTATTTGTATTGACAAAGATGGTGCTGTGTAGCAATGATCATCTTCTTGTATCAAATGTCAGCATAGTAGATCTTTAAGTATCAAAATCTTTCTATACGTTATCAACGTACAGAAATATTTGTACATGAACAAATCTTCAAATATTGCGAGAATAAGTTTGAGTTCTACTGCTCTTTTGTTCTACTTTCTGTATTCAACTTCATTAGACAAATTAATGCAAGGGGTCTCAATTTACATGATTTATACGATAAAGACAATGTAACTCCTATGTATTGGTTAAGTAAAATGTCACTTCTGATTAACGAATCATCACTTTACTTTTTCTATTTACAACATACTATTTTATTAACTATTCAATGAATGGCATCAACATCGGTTTAGTTTTGTATTTATTTTGTCTCAAAAGACAGACAAACACAACCTTTATTGTCATTTCATATTCTGTCATAGTCTCTAACATGTTTTCTATATCTGTTGTAACACATCTGTGGATGTCTCTAAATTCAAAATTGCACCATTTGTCGCGTTCAAATGTTGTATTTTGCTTAAGCCGGTGCTAGAGGGCGTGGCCGGTAACTTGCACTTCCCAGTACTGTCCAAGAACAGGCTCAACTAAAAGAAAAGAATAAAGACCAACAAGGCAAAGGCAACGTTCAAAGGATGCGGCCCCCGACACAATAAAAAAACCCAAGCCGAGCCTGAAACATTTTTAATTTTGTCATGTTGGGCTTTCTCTAGGGATTCTGTCTTTCTCTATTTTATTGTCACATCCGTGTTATTTGTGCCGTGTGGCGGCTGTTAAAAATCTCCCCGTATGTTATATTTCCGATCCTTAAAGATCGTTTAGCACAACATTATTGTTGTGTAAACATGTTATGCGGTAGTTTTAGTTTCTTCTATTGGGCCTTTTTCCAACTTGGGTGGTTCCAGTATTCCTATTTGAATACTATGTAATCACCCTTAGGATATGTTGCCTGCTTTTTAAATTTGTCTTTTGACGTCTTGTCTGTGAAAATCAGGCTTCAAAACATGAGATCCCCTTTCAAAATTCTATTTCATTTAGTTCCGCTCATTGTTTTCTCGTTTAGGGCACACGCTTTCTTTTACTTTGGGACCATACGCCGCTTTTCGTGGAATGGCACTACCGTATGAACACATCTGCGGATGTCTCTAAATTCAAAATTTCACCATTGTTGAATTATGCCTAAACTGGTGCTAGGGGGCGTGGACGGTAACTTGCACTTACCAGTACCGTTCATGAACCGGCTCAGTCAAACCCAGCCTGCAACATTTTTAATTTTGTCGTGTTGGGCTTTCTTTAGGGATTCTGTATTTCTCTATTTTAAATATACCCGGTATTAAATAAGGTTTATTTGTGCTTATCACAAGCATTTGAAGACATGCGTAATTAATTAGATGTCTCTCTTACATAGGTGTATTGACAAACTCCATTCAGCTTACACCATTGCAAATAACAGCCACAGAAAATTCCAGTGCTACACTCACATGTTCAATGACAAATGGAATTCTGCCAGAATCAATTTGGTTTAACTCTCAGATAGCTGGTGGCGCAAATTTATATTACTCCAAAGGACAATGTATTACATCGCGGTTTCTAAATAATAGTGCTTATTTTAGCGGTGTGTGCAATAGTGATGGAACGTACTCTGTAATTCTAAAGAAAATTGAACGATCACAACATGGAGCTAAATGGACTTGTTCAGGAACGCTTTCCTCATCAAATACAGTCGCTATAAAAGTGTTAGGTAACAATTAATTATCAATTGCTATAAATAAGTATGCATTAAAAAAAATTACTGACCCAGTTTCTAAAATTTTTATATATTGTATAATTGTTACTATTTGTTTTTGCGTTTATTGTCTCTAACACTTTTTTTGCTTCCGTATAATTTCAAAATCATTCAAAATTTATGCATATGCTCTCACTGACAAAAGGCTATGCAAATACAGTTTCATGGAGTTCTCATATCATAGTCTCTATAATACTAAACAATTATAATGATTCATAGTTCATTAAATTGTCGTGTAAATGTTATTTTAATGTTTTTGATCATATAAGTTTATCACACACTTGCCTATTATTTTCAACGTTTTAATTCTAACAATTTATGTTTTTATTGAATAACTAATGACTAAAATGGAAGGAAATTAACCTCTACTATTTAGTACAATGATATCGAAAACATTTTATGATTAGTTTAGAAAAAAAAATGTGGATATTTTTTTCCATCTTTGACTTCAACAAATGTGTGTACATATTTTTGAAAATCTCCATAATTTTATGCTGCAACACTTTTAACAGTTCCGGCTACAAGCGCGGAATTGAGCCAACATAATGGGGACTACATGAAAGAATTTCAGGAAAAGAAAATCTCTTGCAGCACATCAGCGTGTCGACCAGACCCAAGAGTACAATGGTATCTTAGTAGTTACGACCAGGTTGTATATAATCTAACACATTTGTCAACCAACAAAGACGTTAATGGCGAATATGGTCTCAAAGCCGTTGTGAGTGTACTGACATTAAGTCCAAATAGAACGATGAATTACTTACGTCTGTACTGTGAAGTGTGGACTCAATCTGATAAAGCTGACAAAACAAGCAGAAAAACAATTGTTAATGTTACCTGTAAGGCCTAAATATTTTTATTCTATATTTATTATCATGACGTATGTTTTCAAAAAAAACAGTTACCTAGAATTCTGCACACAAATGTTTACTGACATAGCTAACATAACTCAGAAATAGGTATTATATAATTATTATGTAACCCCTATTTTGATATTTTCATGTTGACCATTTGGTCAAATTTCTAATGGATGTACACATATTTATATATTCATAAATATTATAAAATAAATATATATAAAACGTAACATTTAGGAACCAGCCGAGGATAAAATCATGCATAAGCAAGTTGTCTCCATCTAAAGATGAACTGTTTTGCATCAAACAAAACGCATCGATGTAAGATATGTTGCATTGAATTGTCATGAAACATCTAAAGTATTTTGTCTTACCATTAGCTTTTTTTTTGTTTAAGAAACCATAAATAAAAATAAATTATAAAAAAACTAAAAATTAAAAAAAAAAAACAAGTTCATTTTTACAACCTTCAAAATTGTATTAAATAGTTTGATAACTGGTACACTGAGATTTTTTTTACATGGAACCCAAATTAACTAACCCAAGCTTGACTGTTTATTTCAGATCCCCCAGATAATTCACCTTTGATACAAGGAGTTGGGTCTAACGATGCTATACGGGTCATTGAGTCTGATAAAGGGTCATTTGTATGTTCGATTACCGGAGGAAACCCATTGGCATTGTTAAGCTGGAACTGTTTCGACAGTCATGACTCAATATCGCGAACCCAAGATAGCACTGTAACAAGCACAGTTAAATGGACGGCATTGCGCAATTATAGCACATGCTCCTGTACATCGAATCACAAAATAAGTAATTGGAAAAAAACTACGAACATAACAGTTAATGTACAATGTGAGTTTGAGTTTCTTATATCCTTGAACATGTCTAACGATTATTCAAAAAAGGCTTAACATCTTTATTTCTTATCTATTGAAAGCAACGCATTTAACTTTAAAATTTACAAAGTCAGACTAGTCTGATATACATATTTAAAAAGGTTTTTTATTGTTCCTGAAACTAAATTGCCGATATTTACGATATTTTTATTAGAATTTGTTCTGTGCATTGAACATTTATTGTTTGATACTTTCCAGATTTTTGTTAAGATAATTTAGAAATAGTGGTTACATTGCTAATAATTTTAGTTGGATAAAAGTTAATGTAAATCATCAATTCATATGTATTTTTGTCAGAATTTAGTTGTTGTTTTCTTTTGAAGACCCTCCAACCACACCACATTTTAAAATCGGACAAACATATGTTTTTGGCAATGTTCGTGTTATTCAAAACAACACATTGCGAGTTGTCTGCAATAGCGAAAGTAATCCTTTATCTAGCTACATATGGACTGGTCCAGGTTTTTCTGGCAAAGGTGATACGTTGGAAATAACAAGCGTTAAAATAAGCAATCAGGGGGATTATAAATGTGTGGCGTCAAACAGGATGACAAGAACGAATTCTTCCCATGAGGACGGGAGTAATTCATCATCATTCATTCTAACAGTATTATGTAAGTACAAACTATTTCAAGGAATTAAACCCAAGCAGATTGCTTTGATCACAGACAGAGAACATTTTAACAATTAGATTAATATGTGTCTTAAGAGAAGTAAAATGCTCTGATAACTATAATTGCATTAAAATCAAAGTATCTAATATTTTGTTATCTATTACACTATTTTTATTTTTGATATATTTCAGTTGACATAATATATGTCTCTTTCAACAAAAGATGTACAAACTTTTGATATTTTCAGACCCCCCAAGCGATCCAAAATTTAAATTTGAAAACTCCAGCGGACAGCTCATTCAATCAAACATATTTTACGTAGTGAGAAATGATACGTTTTCAATTTATTGTGATGTAAAAGGAAATCCTGTACCTAACATCAAATGGGATGATAACAAAAGCAATCCCAGATTGAGTATATCTAACATCCTTTTGGACATAAATAGTACATGCAGAGCAACAAACTTGATGAAAGAAACTGCAAGTCAAAAAGAAATGAACTCAAAATCGGAAGAATTGTTTTCAATTATTGTCTTTTGTAAGTTTATATTTACGATGTCTTTGCTAAAGTAAACACACAATTGATAATTATATTTGAAAGAAAAATATAGTGTTTTGCACATTTAAGTATTCAGGATTTTATTTTGTTTGTCTTGAGACAAAATATATTTGCCATTTTTACTTAATATTTATTTCATTCAAAGGTGAAGCGTCACTTACACTCAAAACTCGCAACAAATTCGTTCAAAGCATCATTCAAAGCATCTTATGTCAGAAATAGATTTATCTCATTACGTTACATTTTATAATTTGTATTCAAGATCCTCCACGGCTTCCTACAATACACGTTTCAAATTATAATGGCGACAACGTTCAAGTTCAAAAAAGAAACGTCAGTGTTATTGAATCAGAAACAATCAATGTGACATGTTTTTCGACAAGTAAACCAATGCCGACATATAAATGGATACATGAGCAATATATGAAAACACAGACGACAAACGTCTTGAAATTTGTCAACATCAGTCGGCACGAAAGTGGAACACATGCTTGCAACGTTGAAAATGCTATGAAGAGATCAATTGGCAAAACTGAAGTAGGAAAAAGTAACTCACAAATAATTCTGAACATATTATGTAAGTAAGAAATTTTACACTCTTATTAATTAATAAGAGGATACCGGAACGTCTGGAGATATAATCTGAAAGACGTTCTAAATTGAAATTACTAATAAGTCTATAGATTCTGAACTATATACATATATAATCGCCTACAAGTGATTTTCTATTTTATTCTGGCTTTACTGCATTTTTCATTTATTTCTTTTAGAGAACATTCTTGGATGCAACATTTTTTTTTGCATACAATATCTTTCCCCACTAAAATATTTTGCTTACTAGTCGCAAACCAGTTTAACCGGGGGTCGTTTAGATTAACTCTCAGTCCGTCTGTCCGTCCACAATAATTATATCTCGTGATAACGCAATGAGTTACTGAAAATAATGTTATGAAACTTGATAAATGGATAGTTGGTAGTCTGATTTAAAGCTCAACTATACGGAGTAAACTGAGAGCTGTCCTACTCACCAAGCAACGGTGACCGCATACATATTTATGATTAAAGTGTTTACGCACTAAAAGCGTGTTCGCCATGACTTTCTTTGTTTTAATAGCACTTGCTTCTGTATTTTAAAAAATAAAACCTTTGTATAATTATATAGATTGTTTGTTTAAAAACTATCAATTGTTGTTTAAAGATCCAGCTATTGTGAATAATATACATGATGTAAGAATTGTTGAGGGATCACAATTGGAAACATTATGCCCGGTAGTAGATGGTAATCCTTCATACTCCACAGTTACATGGTCCAGACAAAGTGACGAAAATCGATGGAACAATAGACTATTGTTTATAAAGAACGTTTCAAGAGCAGATGATGCAAACTACACCTGTAGTGTAATTACAGAGATGCATCCTACTATCGGTAGATTTTCAAAAATTGAAAGAAGACAATCTTTTCATCTAAATGTTTTCTGTAAGATATTTACTAGCTTTCCCGATAATATGACAATTGATACATGCGTTTGATATTGTGATATTCTTTAGAAGTTAACAATCAATATATCCTTCATTGCTAACTTTGATTTTTCTAAAACAGATAAATAGATATAGACTTGTTATTTTTCAGTCATGTTTTAAGAATATTTTTATTATTTTCAGTTCCATCGGAAATTAACACATTTACAATATCTACGGTAAGCTCTGGTCGGACCTTTGAAGTAAACAGAACTCAAAATCCATCATTTGAATGCATTGTTGAAGCCAATCCTACGTCAGATTTAAAAATAATGTCTCCATGGGGTGACTATATTGTCGAAGTATCAAACTCAAATATTGCCCACCACACATTGCACAATGCATCATTTAAAGATGCCGGAGAATATATTTGTACCGGGAGAAACAACTACACAAGGGGCTCACCATTACAGTCAAAACTGATTCTTATCGTTAAAAGTAAGAATTTAAACGATTTGTATTCAATATAACTTTAAAAGCCTAGCAAGGATCTACGCTGAAATGTAATTTTAAAACTCCTACATTCAATGTGATATCATTTATTATATAATTAAACTGTATGTAAAATTTATCTTTAAAGTGCTGATTGCATTGCATTGTTTATTAAATTACATTAATATTATAAACATAAACGTTAAATGGAAAAAAAACTATTTCTATCTGCAGGCCGACCAAGACCATCCTCTGGCGAAACAAACGTTATAAAAGTGGCAACAGTTCTGAACGTTGATGTAACACTGCTATTTACAGCTTGGAATTATCTTGATGAACCAAACAAAACAATGTTCAGTTGGTTTAAGGAAAATGTTGCCATTCCTAACAATGACAATAAATACATAATACATTCGAATGATTTTCAAACAAATATTACTATAATGAACACAACTCAACAAGATTATGGACTTTATAAAGTAAATGTTGAAAATTCAGTTGGACTGTATACTCACTATTATGAATTGAAAGCCACAGGTAAGTACATTTTATCTTAACATGATGCTTTGGTTTAGTATTAGTTTTTGAATAAATCCTGTCGAAATATTAATATACTTAAAATCCGATGATAAGTACCTTGAATATATTACACTGGTTGTATTAAATGACCTTTTTTACACTTGAGTGCAAGTTATATTGTTATTATTGTTGTTGAAAGTCTGCACTTTAAAATTTTGTTTTAAGATAAGCTTGAAAATATACGAGCTAATGAGTTTATTTAGCCGTGAATTTACAGATAAACCAGAGAGACCAAGGGACTTTCGTGTAATAAACAACACAATTACAGACACATCAGTTCCACTGGCATGGAGTCCTGGTTTTAATGGAGGATTTCCACAAACATTTGTAATAATCTATAAAATAAAACACGACAGTTTATGGTTGAACAAATCAATACAAGATAAAGGTGATATGAATATGAATTATACTTTAAATGACCTTCGCAGCATTCAAGAGTATGAAATAGAGATGTTTGCTAAGAACATAGAAGGAAATTCAATTCACACAGAGCGTCTTTATTTCAAAACTAAAGGTAATCAAGCATATTATGTTTCTATTTGACATACTTTGAAATTGGTGAAAGTAAAATAATCTTGTCAAGTCACAAGTAAAATCAAAAGGTATATTGCGGTTTGGTCAAGCTATTACCTTAAACATTTTCATAATAGAGTAAACCCATGCAAATGATATTTTGATCTCTGTTATGAATAAAGATGGACGATTTACAAATAATGTACAAGTCATTTGAAACTATGTGGTACAGAGTTGGTGGCGCAAGTCATGTCGACATTTTGACGTCTACCTATTACCATGAAATTATCGCTCGACATGGATGTTATTATTTTATATAATATGTCCTTGACAGCTGGGATACAAATCGTGGCAGAAACGCTTATGTTTAATGAAATTTTGTCAATATTTATGTGATTAATTCGTAATTTTTAATATACATGTATCTAATTTGTCTGATGAGGAGAACAATTCCGCTCGTATGTTTCTTTCCAGTAAACCATTTACTTGACGCTACATTGCCGTTGTGAATTATGTCTACCGAAATTACTTGTTGAACTTCGTTTTTCCCCTGTTGCTTTAATATCATTTTGTAATTTTTGTTGAGTTATTTAGGGAAAAAACATTAATTATTATATTCCTTTACGACTTCTATGCAATGAAGATAAATAAACTGTGCGTGTTATTTCCACGTATACCCGGCAATGATTACAGAATAAAATGTTAAGGGCGTACAGATTATCAATTGTACATCGAAAAGGAGATCACGTTTTGTCGATGACGTTTTGACGTCCGCCGTAATTACAATAATTTAAGTAATGAACTAGTTCCCGTAGTCACATTTATGTAATAGTAAATACGTGTGTACGCTGAAGTGCCAGTATTGCGTTATATTTTATGTAACTTGTACGTGTACACTACATATACATGCGTATAGTGTATTATGGTAAAATATTAAACAATATCGGTTAGAGTTTTAAAAATAATCGCTGCGCATTTAAACACTGCACTATCCTTCTCCATAATGGGTGTTTTTGCATTTGAAACATTTAATTTAATCGCATAATTATTGAGACCAGAAACGTCTCTAAATAAAACAAAAGCATTTTCTTTCCCTACTGCTTGGATTTCCCAATTGCATCGAGTGGTCGTAAATTTTTATTGTAAGGATGCATAATTTTTGTAATAAAGATGTTTCGGGACTGAAACCCAAATACCTGACAAGACCGTTAAATGTCCATTTTCCTTTATTGAATCATGTTACTATTACACTAGTTTTAACTACTGGATGTATATAAAGTCGTTTTGTAATGTATCTGTATGTATTTGTTTTTGCCAATATAATAGTTTACTTGACTTGAAAAATGACTCTAAAAAGCGTAAATCATTTAGTTTGTATAGAAATATTTTCTTTAATATAGAAAGAAAAAATTGTATACACATAATTTTAATTTCACCAGGCATAAAGAAGTCAAAAGAAACGCAAACTATGGGATCTTCAAACACTGGGGCATTTGTTGGTGCTGGTGTCGGTGCATCTGTTGTTACACTCGCACTTGTTGCTGGGTCCTTGTTTGGATCTAAACGACTTAAGTAAGTGAGGTCACGTTTTTCTGATAAAAGAGCCATGACATGTTTAAATTCCAATTTGATAAATATATCAATATAACAATATTTTATGATCACTTTATCAAATCTTTTATTAGCTACAACTGGAGGCCTTAGATTTTTATCAGGGCTGAATTCAGTCATAATGACTTATTCGTTGTAAAATGATTCACTTGAAGGTACCAAATATACATACAATAAGAGTGTATCGATTTGATTAGATGAGCATAACCGTTCAAGCCACGTTGTTGAACCTTTCGGTAGTAATCAGTACATTTTGGTTTATGTATAATTTCCCCTTATTGATGAATGTGAGTCGTCATACTGAGATGTTAAAACGGCCATCCAATTTGTAAAGGCATGTCAAATATCCTCATTTTCAAAACATAAAATCTCGCATTATTTATGTTATAATCATATGAATAATGTTCATTTACATGGAGATAATAATAAACCTATAACATTTAATACATACTAAGAATACTATCATATCAACGTCTTATTTGTGCTTTATAAATTTGATAAACCCCAAATATTTCAACGCTTTGTTTTAAATCCATGTTTGTTCATACGAGAAAAACAATTACACTTCTCAAATGAGGGACTGCTTGCATTCATATATGTTCAAGCATAAATAATAAAGACACATCGGAAGAACTCCAAAATATTATCGATTTTTCTTTATCTACTAAATATACCGTACTCAATATAAAATGATTCTGTCATAGTAAGTAAATGGTAATCGACCGTTCAGATAATATTTTACTTTGCAGATATAAATTATTGTTCTAGTTTTTTATAATTTAAACACATTTATTTAAGCTCAAGTGCGAAACAAGTTAGTAAAACTTATATTAATCACTTTAGTTTTCAAACCATTATCGGTGTAAAAATAATGAAAACCTGTCAATTACTCGAACAGAGATGCACTGATTTATTTGTTCAACAATTTAAAAAACTTATATCAGGTTTCATTTAAATATAATATAAAATATCTTATATTAATATGCACTGTGATGTATATATGGTTAAATTGCCTTTTAATTATTATTGTTATTTGGATTAACGGCACTTGACACAAACTTTATTTTCAGGAATGTACGATCTTTACGTGATGAAGGTCCAAAACCAGGTAACAATCATTAAACAACTATAGTGAATGTTTTGTTTTCGACCTGTATGCAAAACCATGGTCTTCTGCTATAATATGTATAAGTTATATATAAATGGATCAACTAAGCTATATAACTTGTTAACATAAATTGTTCATATTAACATACTTATATATTGTGTGTATAATTATCGCCATACGTTTACTTTCAATTATTCACAATGTTAAAAGAAATGAGGCTTTTTATTTAGTGTATAAATTTAATTTGCTTACATACTCTAACATATCTGATGTGCGATTACTTTAATATGTTGATTTAGATGTTACTGCCGGAAGCCATGACTTATCCACTTACACGGACTTGGATGCAAGCAGGAGAGAAATTAATAATTATGATGAGTTCAATTTACAATATGAACATTTGAACACTTCAAGCCGGGACCCAAATACATACATGGAGTTGCAAAATACAAAACTGCCTATTACTGACACTTCCGACTACGTTAATATAAGAATATGAACAATCAATTTAATTGATTGATGAAATGTTTCAAAATAATTAATTATGTAAAACAGAAAATATCGGCATAAACAGTTTGCTAAGAATAATATAATTATTATGTTTAAAGTTTATGTGAATGCGTAATAAATATACATTACTTTCACGGTTAAAGAACCCATTTATTTAGCCTAACATTGTGCAGTACTGTGAAACTCACATTGAAACAAATAAAGTAACACACAGTTTGCGAATTATAAAATTATTATAGAAATTATTGAATCATATGTTTGTATATCAAATCATTATGTTTGTATCCCTTATATGATTTTATACTGAAATCAATTTTTCAATATCAATATTGGCAAACGGGTTCACTATTACATAGATTATCAGGGGATATTGATAGAGATTAGTGTTGTTTTTTTATGAAAAGTAAAGTTTAATTGCAGATTCAAGATTAAAAGGAAATCATATGTCAACGTGTTGGATTTTTTTTAATGAAATATTAAATTCGAAACAAACAATAATCTGGATTTGTAAGAAATGAGTTTTACTTAACAAATCAAAGTGCTGAAAGCACTGGGTGCGACGGACATGAATGCTGTCAAAAAGGACCAGGTTTGTTTTTATTATTTACAAAGGGCAGCAAAATTCTATGCCTGAGTTTGATGGAGCTTGGATAGAAACTAAAGACATGTAAAGGTTTCATATGAATATCTTCTGTTTTCTTTTGAAAACTGATGTTATATGTTTAAATGAATACCACAAGTATATATTTGTTGTCCTAAAGATTGATTTTCTTGCAAAGTTTTAAATTAAGATTTTCTACCCTAAAAATAACTATTACTCTGTTAAAATGATTGTTAGATTTATGGGGTTCAGAGAGTAACCTCCATTTATAATCCTGAAAACATATACAATAAAATAGAAAGAAATAAGCAAGACTAATTTGTTTCAAAATTGTCAATTTGCTCTGTCAAAAAACTATGCTAGAGTTATTGGCGTTGCAAATTTTATTACGAACGATCTCAAAAATATTTGTGAAGTAACAAGTAAATACGAGGGCTGTTCAATAAATACGCGGAAAAGTGCTGCCATATCTTTAATATTCATAGGAAATTGACGTTCTCCTTAAATTTTGTAAATAAACATATAATAAACATGTACACAGAATTTCAATAAAATCAGATAAAAATTAATAGTTCAATTTCAAGTATTACTAAGGTAATCGCAGTGAAACCGGCACAACGTCGTAACGACCTAACGCTCAACGCATGTAAGAGAGTCACCCAAAACACGCACCTAGTCCCTCTCGAAATACTCTCCGTGAAAGGAAACACACTTTTTACAAAGGGTTGATCCATGACATGAAACTATTAAAGTAGGAGCCATTATTTATCTCTGAAATTGCACCTTGCACCGCGTAGGACATCTCTTTCACATCATCAAAGTGTTCCCCCGCAGGACGTTCTTCAGTGTCGGGAACAGAAAGAAATTGCATGGTGCGAGGTCAGAGCTGAAGGCCGGGTGCTCGAGACGGTGCGTTGTCGTGATGAAATATCGTGTCGGCGATTTTCGTGGCCCGCTTCTTTCTCATCGCCCTCATAAAATCACGTCTCAGAATCTAAAAGCATAAAGAAATACAATCATAAGTAAATTGTCGTTATAATTTATTTTCATAATTACTTACACAAATATAAATAATTATTAGGTAATGTATTGACATAATATGAAATATCGTATTATAGATTAAATAGATTTATTCACCTTAGAATAATACTTCGCCGTCACAGTCTGACCCAGGGGTACCGCGTGGCTCAATATCACACCGTCGACGTCAAAGAAGACGATGAACATCTTTCCTTGCAGATGGGCCGACTTTAAACTTCTTAGGTGAAGGCGATCATGGAGTTTTCCACAAAGAAGACTGTGATTTCGTTTCAGGTTCGTATAGACTAATCCATGTCTCATCAACAGTCACTATCCGTCGCAAGAAACGTACACCTTCCCTATGAAAGCGTCTGAGAAATTGATTGCATCACCGCACCCTTTCCACTTTTTGTTCGTCCGTCAACATTTTAGGAATCCACCTGGCACACAGTCGTCTCATATTGAGTTCATCATGAATAATGCGATGCACTGTGCCAATGCAACAATCCGATCTTTCGTGTATTTCACGAATTGTTATCCGACGATCATTATCACAGCGACGCGATTTGACGTTACGTTGGGACGTCCACTGCGTTTGTCGTCATGAATGCTTTGTTGGCCGCTTGGAAATCGGGCATACCACTTGTACATTGCTGTTTTCTTCATCGCCTGATCACCATATGCTTTTTGTAATCTTAACATTGTTTCTTTCTTGGAAAACCCGTTCAAAACACAAAATTTTATTGAAGATCGTTGTTCCGATGCCATTTTAACGCATACGCACTAAACAATATGGCTGCTTTACGCCTAAATGACGTCACACACCAATATGACGTCATGTGCGTAACGCCAACATATTGCGCGTAAATTATGCAAAGTTTGGTGAAAATCGCACGGTAAACGTTAAAATGCGACGTCATTATCAACCAGTGACCACAAAAGTGGGCCGGTAATCGCTACATGTGGTTACCATAACGACCGTTTGTTAACATATTATTCATGCCAGAATGGCAATATTTGCTGTATATTTTCAAAATATGTTTGTCTCTATTACTGTATAAGTTGTATTCAGCTAACTTGGCAAATAAGGAATTAGCGACACTTTTCCGCGTATTTATTGAACAGGCCTCGTAGTTCAATTGTTTATGAAGTTCTATGCTTTATAAGCTGAACGTTGCCCCAAAACCTGTAACCAAAGTGGTATGCCAACGCGGACACTTATGACACCAAGATGAGAAAGTTAGAAGGACAGTTGAGCTAATGCTTCCATCAGGCTCAAGTCTTTTTTTCATATACAAGTGACATGAGACCTTGCAATATTTTAAACTTTATTTGTTCCATGTTTGGTAACACAGAAAATTAATAAGGAAGTAATATTTTCCTCAACAGTCAGGGCATTTATAACAGTGCACACATATTATGCAGAGTATGAAATAGGTCAAGATTTGTGAAGGGAGAGAATATCATTCAATAGACTTACTCTGTTATTACAGGGCCGGGCCATAAGAATTCGTAGGGGGGGGGGGGTATGTTTGAAATGACCAAACTCCCCCTTTTGATGAGGGAGGGTCTGGCGGTTCTCCCAGGAAAAAAATGAAATTCATATGTTACCTTATGGCTTTTGGTGCATTTTATTTGCACATTTTGAAAATGTCTACATATTTTTCACAAAAATGAATTTTCTGCAAAACTGGAAGAAAAAAACTTAATCTACATGTATGGGAAAGCTATGATTTTTAATGAATTTTCCAGAGGGTAAGATATGCTTTACATTAACCATAAAAAGCGTGCTTTATGATCAAAGTAATTTAAATTTACATCACTTGCGCTTCAGTATTGAAAAACATTGCTGAATATATACGAAAAAATCATCATCGCATTCCATATTCAATAGGGGGCTATTTATAGTTCAAAAGTTAATGTATTTACTACTACGAATAAGTTTCTCTTTTATTCAGTATTATCAAGGCGCTTAAACTGCATCTACACTGACCAAGAGAACTAACTAGTGTCTGCATGTATGTAGTTAATCTAAGCCATAGTATTTAGTCTCGACTAATTGTAAAATGGAGAGGAAAGTCAGCTGGGGTCCAGGTTCAAATAAAAAAGGACTTAGATTTAT